ATGTATTATATTATAAAAAATATGCACGAATTTACCATAATGTATAAAAAGAGTAATTTATGTGAAGTGTATATTTTCAAAAGCTATGTATATTGAACCGTGATTAAATCTATACCAGACAGTGCTCGAGTTAATCTTGCGAATAGGATGTATAACATATGTTCTTTTATGATCGCGATTCTTGCAAGTTTATCTGATAAATTTTATGGAGCAGATTAAGAACCACCTGAGAGGGGCAATCATTTTACTTCCTAACTCTATTCAGGTCTTTTTGATCCCGCTCTTAACAAGCTTGTGCGGCAAAATTCTACACCTTTATTTAGAAGTAACACGTTGCATCTGTGATATTTAAAAAATACTTAAACTTTCAAATATCAGTATTGTGAGTGATTAATTAATTTCATTCAGCCTTTAATTGTTGACGAAGCTACAGAATCAAACATCAATTATTTCCTATTACGCAGGAATTAGTAAAAGGAATCAATAACACAATGATATACCATTTGCGATTTAACGATTACTTTGGATATGTCAAATGCGGCCGCGCAGTCATCCATCTTCTTGTAATCTTATTTGGTGTATCCACTTGGATTGGCGTCAATGGAATATTTATTGAACTGCCGCTGCTCGTCAATATCGCACCGGAGGGTTGGAATTTACCCGCCTACATAGTGATAGTGGCGCAATCCGCGAATATTGGCCCTGCGATATATACTTTCCTATACAAGTGTAAATGCGATTTGAACGAATCATTGTGCATACTGTGCTTGCTCTGCCTGCAGGTCCTCGCTATGGGGCTGTTGATATTTTTTTATGATGAGATAACTGTCATCGGTGGTGAGGAACATAGTTTGGTTCTTTTAATTTCTGTATTCTTCAACGCTCTGGTCGGTTGCTTCAGCTCAGTGCTGTTCATGCCTTATCTCCGTGACTTTGATGACATTTATATCGTGTCCTATTTCATCGGAGAAGGCTTAAGCGGCGTATTACCGAGCGTAGTGGCATTGATACAAGGTGTTGGAGAGCGTGCAGAATGTAATACCGATCTTAACAATATAACAGAATCAGTTTCTCTTAACGCATCCGTCACAAAGTCTTCGGGACAATATTATTTCTTGTTTCTAACTCTCGTACTTATTTTATCATTTATAGCATTTATTGTTTTGCGATATTCTCCGTTTGTACAAAGTAGGAAGAACTTGTGTAACTCTAATTCTCTCACGCAATCTAAGATACAATTGGTAGATTATAAGCATCACAATGAGCTCGATGTTATCGCTAGCGTTTCTCATATTCAAAACGTTGATCGTACATTAACTGAGAAAGAATGTGAAGCAACGAATTTTCCGATTAACAAAGCAAATAATTTGACCGACTTTAGGAAAATTTATTTGCATATTCTAATTGGAATATGTTGTTTCTTTAGTAATGGATTTCTTCCAAGTATCCAGTCGTTCTCGTGTCTGCCGTATGGCCACCTTGCATATCAATTATCCATCATATGTGCCCAATTTGTGAATCCGCTCGCATGTTTCCTAACATTCTGGATCATAGTGTCGAATATAAAAATTATCAATTGTCTGTTTTTAGTATGCTTCATCACCGGTTGTTATGTTATATGTATAGCTTTATTATCTCCCGCTCCACCGTTGCAAGAATCAAAGATTGGCATAGGATTAATTATTCTGTCTTGGATCCTTCTAATGGGAGTAATATCGTATTTAAAACTCGTGATTGTATCTCTCTTGAAACAAGTATCATCCTCAAATGCACTCTTCAATATTGGCGTAGTTATGCAAGCGGGTTCGGCAAGTGGCGCAATTATTTCATTTATTTTAATTAACTTTACCGACTATTTCGTAGCGTACAACCCGTGTACTGTCTGAAAGGAATTGTCAAAACTCAAAAGTCAGTACAATAATAAAGCGAGCTATTTTGGTATGCAAATCAGTGCATTAATGATAATAAGTAGATAATGTACAGTGCTTTAGGAAAAATAACGAGTCTTCATAAAAATAGCAATAAAAAATTATAATATCTTGTACTTATATTTTTTAAAATAAATTTAAAAAATATATATTTTAATTTAGAACAAAAAAGTGTATTTTATATGAATAGTTTTAGTATATTATAGCACATATGCTTTGTAATTTCAATAAAGTAATTAAATTAGGCTGAGAAACTGCAATATTCTATACATGCAAACGAGTTTTGTAACGTATAATACATGTGCATTTATAACTTCTATGCTCTTTTGCATATATATATTAATTTACTTAGTAGACGATATTTAAAGCAGTATCTTTTTAAATAAGATTACCTCAGTCTGTACAAACGAGTTCACAATAAATAATTTTATATAACATTACATTTTAATATAATATAATAAAACATATAAATTGTTGAAAAAGTTTATGTAAACTGAAATATTTATTAATATAAATTTATGGAGAATTTTTATTGTTATTGTAATATGAATGAATGTAATTCGCACAGAGTATTATAATTGTTATTTTCAAATATAAAATTTATATTCTGCAAATCCGAATCTTTTATTGACATTACTGAAATTTCTATTGCCAGAATTTAATAATTGATCGATTAAATTTACTCAATTTCTTTGAAAAAAAAATATTGGATACAAATCGATCACGATGTGTAACACATGTATGTTTTCTTTCGGTGCATCTTGTATAGGTGGCATCACTCTGCACTCTTGCGTTTTCACATCAGCTGTAGTTGTATAAAGAGTTCAATGTGATAACTATCATACGACTGTCCATGTTCGATAATACGATAGATTAATACTATAAACATCAGTTAATAGGCATCTTTCTTCCTTAATTTGTTACGTCAGTTTCGAACAAATCGAATGAGAATATCCAGATTGACACGGTGTGGAGAAAAATGGACGACGAAAATGCGAGTTGCATGTATGACAGCGAAGAAGATGAACAGCTCTCATTATTGGATCTCCCAGTCGAGGTTTGGAAATATTCGTTTCCCATATACGTAAACACATGCGCGTGAAAATCACTCACTTTCGTCATTTCATCTCGTTTGTCGCTTGTTAATGCAATTAAGTGAGCGATGATAATCGCCTCTGTCTTTCTCTTTCTTTCTTAAGTGTTTATTTTGTTGTGTGTTTATCAGTGCTGTGTTTAATTTATTGCGTTGCGTTTCAGATATTCCTGCATATATGCTCCTTCTTAGAGGCGTCGACGTTAGTACACAGTTTGAGCCTAGTATGCAAACAGTTCTATCTGATTTTAAAGGATGACTCATTGTGGAAAGCGCGAATTAACCATATATGGCCGGATGCTAGCTATCCACTCTTGCGTCCTGGTTAGCTCAAATTGATAGCACCTTACATCTTGCACGACTACTCGTTTTGTAAATAGATGTCAGATCACTATCTATTCTGATATGCCACCATTCGTTCAAACTTTGCACATGGAAATGCAAATTGAAGTAGGCCTGCTTTGTACATTAGGTTTTATTTTGCATTTAATTTCTATTTGATAAGAAACAAAAAATATATTGTTCAAATATTGTATATCTATTTTAGCTATACAAAATCATGTTAAGCAAGTTTGAGCAGCTGTGTTTGTTACACTAGATGTGTTGTAACGTAAGATCTTAATCTCTTTAATATCTCTTATGTCTTTAAATAATTTGTTTTAATTTTATTTTTATGTGCAAATGATTTATGAAGTAATTATGGTAATGTGTCGATTGATAATAAAATTATTGCTAATTAAGATAATGTATAACAATTTTTCAATGTTACTTGAGTTAAAAATATGTGTTCTCAATATTTTATATTTTTATCTGTAGAAATTATATATAATTTTAGCGAGACCCAACAAACTGTTTTGGAAATTGTCATGTGTGGCAATCGAGAAACAAAGATTACTATGGAAACAGCAGGATTCTATGGAGAAATTAATAATTGCAAATGCACAGTACAGTACAATAGATGCTTTGTTACTAATGCATGTAGGTAGTATATTATTCAACAAGTTTTAAACACCTGCCTTTATGAAAAATAATATATTGTAATTTTAATGTATATAGGACGGAACCACTTGTATAGCTGGTGCAAGAGATCGTACTTTGGTGTACTGGAAACTTCCTTCTCATGAAAAACTGCCATCTCACGAAATCGGAAACTCTGTCTGTATAGATTCCGCGCATAATGGATGGATTTGGGATCTAACAGCGATAGACAACACAATTTACAGTTGCAGTTGGGATCAGAGTGTTAAATCATGGATGCTAATCAACACTGGTCTTGTTCAGAAGAAGACTTACGAGATGTACTTGATAATGAAACTATTTCTCTTGTCGATTCATAAAAAGATTGAATGAGAAAGAATTTTCTAGAAAATAAGTGTCTATCCAAAGTATTCGAGTGCAAGACAACAAAAAATTAAAATATGATACAATACTAAAATTTACTTTCTCTGACAATCATAATTATTGCATGTTAACATAATAACATGTTATTATGTTGTATGAATTATTTTCTCCATCAATATAATTTCAGGAATATACCGGGTGCGTTACTGTGTGTATCATCGTGTCCAGAACAAGCTCTCTTTGCGACCGGTTCATATAACAGGACTGTATTTGTATTTGATTCGAGATCGGGATGCAAGCCAATCAGGCAATATCGGCCGCACAATGGGGCTGTGATTAAGTTAGCCATGAATTCAGAATATATTTTGTCTGCCAGCGAGGATAAAACTGTGTCTGTTTGGGATCAAAGAGCTGGACGATCTATGAAATCAATTACTGTAATTTCAATTTATATCTTTTATATCAATTCATATTTTTTGCGAGAAGGAAATACATGCTTACAGCCAATATTTTTCAGATTTCAGGTGAAGCATTTCCTATGTGCATGAATATGACACCAGATTGGATTTGTGTCGGGGACAGTATCGCAAAATTGCACATATTAAATCCAAAAGACGACTTCAAACTAGTGAAATCTTATGCTACCGAACATACGAAAGGAATAACAGGAGTGCATCTGACACATGGATGTCTGATAACGAGTTCCACAGATGGCACGGTCAGAATTTCAAGCCCTACCGACCCACCAAAGCCTATAGCTACTTTACTTTCAGGATTCGGAGAAATTGCTAGTGTAAGTATCATATATTATATCCATAAGAAATATTATATCAATTTTAAGGAAAAAGTTGCTTAAATGTCATTTCAGGATAATAAATAATAAATAATCTATTAATTATTTAAGAGAATTGCATATAATGAGTCATAAATTTACTAATTAATGAATATCAATGTATGAAATAAACTTTAAAATTGTGTTTTTATTTATAATGCAATTTTGGAATCAGTTTTCTTATTATCTATTGAATTCAAGGGAATTTTTTCTTAAACTAATCATGTAGCCTATAAGTCTAATATTTAACAAGTCTACTGTTAACATTATAGTAAATAATTTTATATCTTTTATTTTATAGATGGATTATCTCAATGGTGTTCTTGCGATATCTGGTATTGATATCGCGGTATGGCGACCGAAATCAATGTGTTCATAAAAACATTAATAGAATGGAAAATTTCTATACATAGTTATATTGCTTTGATATATATATATTCTTAGTTTTTTAACTAAAGTTACTTAGTTTTATTACTACAAAATCTATCATCAAAAGTTTTTTATCAAATAAAAGAATTTTGATCTTTGTACCAAATGAATAAAACTTATTTTTTTTTATTCTAAACTTTCTAATGTGATCTCAAATGAAATATTAATATTTTGTGAAATTAGGCAGGCAAGTATAAAGAATTATTTGACTCACCGGTCGTACCCTGCTGCTGTAGCTGAGTATGCCATCAGAGCTGGTATCTGGAAAAATTAATGAGTATTTTAATTATAAGAATTATATGAATTATTATGTATATTGATTATATTATGTTATCTAATTATTTTTATTTTTATTAAAACACAAGTATGAATAATAATTTGCATAAATAAGTATTTAAATATTTTGATAGTTATTTAATAAATGTTATACATATTTGAATATATTTAATAAAAATTATTGGATGTATGTATGTGTGTGTATGTGTGTATGTGTGTGTGTATCTCAATATTGTGAAAATATTTAAATGAATAAATTATTGTACTCACCAGCTAGGATATTGCAGTTTGTTTCATTCGCTGCATCCTCCATCTCCTTCTTATTTTTTAGTTTTAGCATTAGTTTTCTTAAAGAACTGATAAATATCGAAAATCACTTTACACATTTCACTTCGAAAAAAAAAAACGCGAAAATCACGAACAAAATCATGTTGCGAATTTATACTGCAATATAAATACGAAAAACGAAATAAAACACACGCGTCCGCACAGATTATTGTAGCACATTTGGTAGGCTATTTGATAACTGTATACACACGCCGAGCGTACAAAACGAACGTTAATTATTTTGACACAGTTACACAGAGATCAGGATATCTACAAAATGATACGTATTATTGGAGAAGCTAAATACTAAAACAAATTGCTTCTAATAGAAAATATGTATTTATTACGCATTATTTTGCGAATATAAAGCTTTCATTTTTATATAATTATGTTATCGGCATTTGAATTTACTGAATTTACATCGAGTAAGTAGATACGGCCCGAGTATAGCGCAAATTACGATCGACAAAATATACATTAATCGCGAATATCCACGATAAATAATATGTTCCGACAATAGCCTGTCATTTTTAATCGGCACTCCTAGTAAAAATTCACACTTGTTATTTAAATTTAACACGGATTGAGATAATAAAGAACATGATTAATCACAAAACGTTCGCGCTCTGCATTCTGAATCAATGTGCGTAGCAAAAACTGTTACGCGCAGTGTTGACGCAGTAATTTCGATCAATTCGATAAATTTCAATGTTGGTAACCATTAATCCGCTAAGGGTATATCCCCATAAAACGCATAAGCATATGCAAATTTACCTTAATATACTGTATGAATGAGCCCTAATGTGTCAGCATAGAAGAGAGGTGAGCCATCTAGTCAAAATATATCAATGCTGCGCGCGCAAGTCTCCGCCATTTTGATGTCTCTTCGTGTACCTGTTGGAGCAAACCGTGGACGCTCCGTGACTAATCAACTTTATCCGTAGTAATCCGCATTAGTAAGTGCAAATTTTTATCGGGAGTGTCGATTAAAGTGACGGGCGATTGCCGAAATATATTATTTTGCTCAGATATTCGTGATTAGCGACGAGTCGTCGATCGTTTGGAGGTCAGTCCGTGAAAGTACAGTTCGAGTAAGTACAGATTCTTATATCATTTTTAAAGCGCTATTTTTTGCATATTAGAAATGCACAATAAATCCAAATTTTTGTTAAGCGTACCGAATAATCACAGATAAAATGTCGGAATGTATAATTCTCCGCGAATATTCGTTACTAACCCATGTCGTTAATCTCTTGGCAGTCGTAGATGTACAATTTCACTGATAGCGATATTTTATGCGTATTAAAAGTACATATGAAGTATATTTTTGTTGTACATACCAATTAAAGTGATGGGCAATGGCATTATCGTATACACCTGCAGCTAACGACATTTCGTCGTTCGTCTCAATACTGATAAATCCACGCAATGTTCGCGCTCGGCGTTTCAAACTGATGCTAGTTAGTAATTGTCATAGCTGGAAGATGGCGCGCATTGAATTTATCGACGCTACGCGCGTTTTTTTTCGGCAGCTATGACAGTTATTACTATGCAACGTCAAGATGGAAAGTGCGAACGTTCTGTGTTTAATCGCGTATTTATTTATATCAATCTGTATCAAACATGCATAATAAATGCAAATTTTTGTCGGGAGTGCCGATTAAAGTGACAGGCGATGGCCGGGAACGTATTATTTATCGTGAATGTGCGCGAATAACGTGTGATACGTCGATCGTAATTTGCGTTATACTTGAGTCGCACACAGTTAGAATTCAATGAATTCATATGTCACAAACAGATGAAAATGGTCAAATATAGAAATTTATAAGATAATTATCCTAGTGACACCAATCTCTGATCATATTTGCACAAAACAGTTATAATATTTATAAATATAAAACCTAGAAGTAATATTTAAAAAATGCTAATAAATTAGTTTGCATATAAAAAAATTAAGAATTGTTGCATATTCAATTATATGTATATTAATTAATACAACGAGTTTAGATTATATCATGTGAGACACTTTAAATTATCATGAAATAATTTCTTATAATTGAAAAAAATTTGATTAGCTTTAAAAATACAATATAATAAATTTCTTTGATCAGTATTAAAAATAAATTGAATTCTCATATAAAACATATCTTTTGCATGCATTCTACATTATCTTTAATAATGATTAGCTGTTAAATGTCCAGCCACTGCGATATCGCAAGATAAATATTTATCTTATATAATATACAAATAAAAATTTTGCACGAGGAAAAGGGAAAAGGATATGATGGTTATATATATAATATAAATTTCTGATATTGACTTTTGATTCACCCGTTTATTCACGCAAAACAAGAATAGACTTAGATATCCGTGTCGTTAATTGTACTCATGTACACATCTGTCCATATACATACAATCGCGCATGATACGCATCCTCGAAATGCATATTCGAAATGAGTGTATATACACATTATATATTATATGTATATGTAATATAATTTTATATTAACTGGATAGGATACGATTTCTCAGCCCTTTCTCATCTTCTCGTTTGTTCGTGTGTAACAACTCTGATGTATTTGTGTATCTGTATTTGAGTATACGTGTATATGAGTATTTTTTCTTTATATTTTTTCGAACATGTACTACATCTGCCTATGTTTATACTCGTGTATATGCGTGTGTGGCGCATATAGATAAAAAGATTCAACGCAGCGCACGTGTTGTATCGTCCTTTACAAATAAAATAAAACTGTCCAGCGAAAGTCGCGTGTTTTATAAGAGTATCGTCTGCTCACGTGTTGCGTGTTACGCGTCCATTCATACCGGAAGGAAAGAAACAGCAAAAGTATAACAAGAAGGAAAAAATAAAGGAAAAACGTATCCACAGACAGCTTTCCCGCGTGCATATCCTCGTTTTGCGCGCATCGACAGAGAACGAATCGCACAGTTCATATTCGCATCGACAGGTGTGAAATGCTCGTTATGCGCGAAACGGCGAATTAACGCTTTTAAACGGGTCACAAATTTTCGTCAGTCAATGTTCATTTCACAAGCGAAACATTTAGAAACACGCATATCCTTATTTTACAAACTCCGGATCTAATATTTTTGGAAATATAAATATCTATCGATTTGAAAAATATCTGTGAAAAGATACAAGAAATATTTCTTTGAGATTTATGAGTATTTTTTTTAAATATTTCTATACTAAATTTTATAAATATACTTCGTTGACATTACACGTGTATGGCAATTTTGACATTAAAAATTACCTGTCGACGCTGCGGCACGCAGTTGCGCTTGTCATTTGTTACAACGATGTTTCGATGTTATATAAATAAGAATGCTGATTTTTTTGGATGCATCGAAAGACACGTGTATGTTCGACGGTCAATTCGGCTTCGGATTCGAAATAAATATTACAGAGTATACAAGTCAAAATATCGTGCAAAGATTGTATGATTTTAAATAACATGGACTATATATGTACAAAGTAAAAAATAAATGCAAAATACGATATATTTAATATATATTAAATAAATAATATGAATGCAACTTTTAACATAAATAATATCAATTTGTTAATGCAACTTTTTTGCAATATTCCATAGAATTTTTGTGATATGCAAAATCGATGAAAGTAAAATAAATGAGTATGACAGAACAGATATTTTGCGTCTTGTCGCAGAGTGTACGAGTTTCCGAAGCCGAACTTGAAGTTCTAAAAATCGCGAAGACGGAATGATTTCAATACTGATTTTGGAATGGTTCGTAATTCTCGGTTAGAGTGGCGATGATATTCCGCAAAGCACAACAGGGAGCTTTGTAGCGCGCGTCTTCGAAGCCATTGAAACCAAGAGAGACAGAAGAACCAAAATTCTTAACTTTCACAACTGGTTTCATTAATATCGATTAATTGTAAATTCATTTACAGTTAATTAATTCATTTAATCAATTTTTTATCTTTTATCTATTATCTTTTTTAGCATCTTTATCTTTTTAGCAAGAATACGGCTCAAAAAAGAATAACTTAAATTACGATCAATGTTTTTACAAATGACGGTAAAAATATTATTTTCTAGAATGCTTTCTAGAATGCTTCAATGATTTTACTAACAACCAGTTGATACTTGGAAGTTCGACGATATCCCGCGTGATTGATTTTTCGCACTGTCTCTTCTTCTTTTGTCTCATCTTGTGTTCGTTGAGATACTCCGGGGTTGTTTCACACATCGTCCACGCACTCGGGCAATCATCCAATTGGACATTGGCTTTGAGGACGCGCGCACTTCTCTCTCTCTCTCTCCTCCTCTCTCTCTCTCTCTCTCTCTCTCTCTCTCTCTCTCTCTCTCAGTTAGGTACGCGCGCTAATACTTTTGCTTCGCTACGTGTCGCTTATATAACTTAAGAACGTGAAAAAATAAATAAATATTACGCGTTTTATGCGCGATCGACTCGCCGTTCGCGAGTACTACACCGGCCGAATACGGAGGAAGAAAGTCTATTGTTGTTTGTCAATGTTGCTCGTGTCCAGCAAATAAATTGCAGGAAGACCTCTTTATCCATCTCTTTCTTTCCTTAAGCTCTTTTGAGAATGTTGCGCGTGCAGCATACATTCATATTCGAGTCGCATAATCGAGTCGAATATCGTTGACATCACCAACGTTTCTTCCACCGTGCTCGTCAGTGCGTTCACCCGGGCGGAGGCGTTGCAACATAAATTGCAATAATAACAACAATAATTCTACTATAACATAATAGTAATAATAATATTAATAATAAGGCGGTCGTAATTTGAACGACCGGCGGGTCTCCTATCTACTTTCCTTAAATGTTTTAAGAAAAATACTTAGCCGAAAAAGAGGAATCTTAATAATCTTAATCTTCGAATAATCGTCCCGTGATCGAAATCGTGCATTTATTTCTTCCTAATGTGTTTTTTTCGTGTATATCTAACGACATTACTATATGCCTGCAACTTAAAAATTTTAGAATTTAGCAAACTATCAATACCTTCTACGAGTGCCTCTGTCGCGTGTATGTGTTTTATATAATCTCGACTAAAGGCTCAATCGTTAATTAAACAACGAACCGATGAAGGATGGCGATAGTAATAAAAAATATAATCGTGACATAATAGTAGCCGGATGATAATAATAATAATAATATTAATAATATAGATTATCATTATTACTACGTAGTGATGAATGACGACGATTAATAATTAATAATTAATGATTAATCGAATAAAAACGAGTGGCGTGGTGCGCGAGAGCGCAGATATTTTGTCGACTAGAATTCGTATGGATTCGCTGTATGTGTCTTGTCTGTCTGTTTGTTGTTTGTTTGTATGGCTCAATCGTACCGTTTCGCTTCTCGTGTCTCGTTGTTTAGTGTTATTGTTTAACTTTGTTCTTCATCGTGTCAAGCAACGACGCGACTCACCGCGAAGGATCGCTATTTTTCTTTTCATCCCTCTCTCTTTCTCTTTGAATTCTCTCATTCTCTGCCATATTCTCTCATCGCACCGCGAATACTCGCGAATACTCGCTCATACTAATAGCACGACGTCCACGATATTCGACTTTCTACTCATTGTCAGTGGGCACTAGCGTCACAGCACGAGTCGATAGACAAATCGCATGTTCCAAATGCGAGCGGAAACTTTTTTCCGCGTGTCTTCTCGAATTTCGTGGACGTCGTAAGTACTACCGCGTCGTTCTCCAGATCAATAAATCGCATTCTTCTCAACCACCTGAATTAAATATCTCGACAAAATATTCCTGAATCCGGAGATCAATACGTGCATTCGGTGTGTTTGCCATTTCGTTCACAGCTTTCCAATGCGACACCTGGTCCTCCGTACTTTTAGACTCTTTTTCCAGGTGGAATGATAGTTTATCGAATTTCGAAAACGTCCAAGTTCTCGAAAATCGTAGTACGACGACGACGTGTCGGCAATCTTTTCTCCTCGTTCTCCTCTTCGTCTTCTTCGAGACAGGAACATCACGTTCTCCTTCTCCTTCGACCTCCTTCTCAGGCTTGCGTATGTGTGTCTGTATGTACGTGTGGGGGTGCGTATGTGTGTCGTATGGTGTATGTCTCCTTCGTGGTGCGGCGCGTCGTTGCTCCAACTATGTCCCGTTTACTTCTTGCGACCTAGGTACTCGACCATCTCCTCCAACCTTTCCTTCTCGTCCTCAAGCAGCAGCGCTTGGATGCAGCTCGTGAAGTATTGTGTGCTGAAGCAATTTCTCCTATGATAGGGATCAAGAATAGAAAGATCGATTAGTTCAATCGTAATGCGTCAAGTACCACCAATATTCGGTGACATATATCGTGTATTCACAAGACTTGTTCGAGATTATTTTTCCGACAGATTTAGAAGATAAAAAAGTTCTGTAGTAAAATGAATATTGTAAATAATATCTATATCTCAACTTTATTTTGTGTTATACTCGAACTCTCTGAGATATTTTTAAAAGAGCAAGATATTTACTCACATATCTTTTCTTTTCATTTAAAATCAACTTGATCATTTCTTTATAAATTTTATTTTACAAGTACAAATTTTAGAATTTTACGATGTTTAAATAAATAGTTAAAATTTAAAGTTTTATTTATTTGCGCGCAACATTGATATATTTCACACGAATAAACAAAGGATATCGGACAAGTCTGTGAATTAATAATTGTTAGTAGTGTGTAGGTAGATATCAGGTCACATGTGGGAAGACATCGATTGTTTCGCACTCTACACCGTATTATAAAAAATGTATATACTACGAATTGTAGAGTGCGAATTTCTCCGCTTCAAAAAATCGCAAAATGTTCAAAAATGTCAAAAATCGAAAAATCGTGGATATTGCTTCCTAAAAATTCCTACATCAATTCGCCACTATTCTATTATCCTGAAAAAATGCTGCAAAAAGTCGCAAAAAAATACATCAAAGTACAAAACGCTCATTCGCATGTTTGTCGGCAAAAAACAGTCCAAAAATCGTCGTCGTCGTAAAGACAAAAAAGGCACATTGAGACACATTGGAGAAATACGTATATGAAATGTACGAGATGATGCTGTATTACATCGCTAGCAGTGCTGCATTGTTAAACTATAAATTAAACACAAGTAGTAAAATATAAACATTACAATCAATATCTCTATTTCACATTGATTATCTAAAATTTATTTTGTGTGATATTCGAAATCGTTAAAATTTTTTAAGAAGTAAGACATGTGTGTTCACATTTTAAATTTTGATAAATTCTAATATGTTTCCATATATTTTCCATATATTTTCTTCATACTTTTTTATTGCAGCATTGCTCGCTAGTTCGAGCTTATACAGAATTACCTAATCTCTCGTACTCATTATCTCGGTGCGAAGATACTATAATACGCGCGGGTATTCATCCAGGGGGTGGTGTCAAAATGCAACAAAAATATAATTGAAAATAATAACAAAAAGGATTGGTGAATGTGTCAAAATAAAATACAAGTAGAAATTCAATCAACCGGTATTTTTTATATAAAATTTTTCTATTTCTTCTAATAATGCATTTATTCAACGTTTGTTAATTAACTCAGCAAAAAGTTATTCGATTAATCTTACTTCAAGTATTTTGCATATGGCTTTCGATCCAAACACCGCTGCGAAACAACTCGATCACTGCTTTTAATTACATATTCACAATTTTTACATATCCGTCATTGCGTACCGTGTAATAAAAAATTGTCTAGATTCTTTGAACTTTGGTTTGTAAATATTACGAGGTACATTTACATACATTCAATATATGCGAAGAATATGCGAGTGCAAATCGAAATCATTTTTTTTTTCCGACGAATGGACGTATATTGGAACGACAGCAGACAAGGGAGGATAATAGGGGAGCAAGCGGGCGCGGTTAGTTCTTTATATTTGCATTAAGCGGAGAAAAGAAAGGGGCGCATAAAAGAAAAAATCATAAACTAAAAAGAAAAGGCTACCTAAACCCCGGGATCGGCTCCGTGAAGTTGCTTGATCCACATTTGGATTTTTTCAACCTCATCCGTCATCAGCAGGACGTCTAAGCATCCTTTGAAGTAGTCCGTGGTGAAACATTCTTTCCTGTAGAAAGTTATAAAGAGATACGATGAATTATAATGTTGGTGGATTTCGCGGACAGTGTAGATAATCCGTGTAGGATAATCAGTGTAGGAAATCTTGACAAATGCTTTAGAAATAATCACGAAATCCACACGTTACAAATACATAATTTCATTTCTTCTAGTCGGCTTAGAATATTATTATAACAAGAGCTTCGCGGAAAAGCAGGTGCATCGGATCAATAAATATTTTAAGATCTTATGTAAATCTTAAAAATTGTATATATATAAATTTAGATTCTGTTAATCATTGTAATATTATTTTTACATTATTAATTTTAAATTATTTTTTGCGCACTGTCGACAATAATCCGAAAATTTCAATATTAATATTTAGAAAAAATATGCATGTGAAAATATTTTTATCGGTGAAAAAAATTGGATTAATCAGCAATATTCTTTGAATGGTAATTCATCGATGCATCTGTTTCTAAGAATAGAACAAACTTCTAAAATTAGAACTACAGGTCGTAAGTGCTTTTCAGCTAGTGTGTCAATCCGCCCCTTTTTCATGTTGATCTCGCCCGCTGTCGTACAATAGCTCTTTCGAGACGGCCGTTAAGCGGCTTAACGCGGCTCAGCACAAACGGCAGGTAGCAGCGGATGTGCGTTGGCATTTGCTCGCACGAGCTATAAATAGAAGAGAAATCTCATTCCATTTCGATACGCGTGCCGACGTGTGGTAAAGGCGCGCGCGCGCGTGTGTATTGTGGTACTCAGAGCGGAGCACGTGTGCGCAAAGGTGTATATCCGTGCGTCCACCTTGGCCGTTGTTCGCTGCCGGCATTTTTCAAGGTGCAAATCATACAGCGGAAGTCATTCGATAAATTATTTCACCACCAGCACTTTGAGGGAATTTCCTCTGTAGCGTTGTCGCCGAATTTTTGCTGAAAAGATTTTCAATTCTGAGCTTGCGAGATGAATTTTATGTATTATGTATTATATGTGGGCTGAATGATCGCTCTGGGAGGCCTGTATTTAATTTTTTTGCATTGTTTATTCTTCCTCGATTAAATATTAAATATGTGCTAATTTGACGTTAAGAAAAAATCGTGGATTAGATTTGTTCAGAAAATAAATGAAAAAAGAGAATTTATCCGTCTCCCAGATCGATTTCGTCAAAAGAAAATGAATCGTAAAAATGTAATGGAAAGATGGTTGATGGTTTGTTTTCGTTATTGATAAATTATATATATAGTTATAGCTCAAAGAGTAAATTGTTAATCAAATTCGTATGACAATTTCATAATATTCCAGTTAGATATAATAATTCTCATTGCTAATTCGTTATTATATATTATCAATAAGTGATTATCAATAATCGTAGTAATTTCTAAAAAATCTCGAAATAAATTCATGTAAGTTTATGTAAAGTAAATTTTTGTGTAAAATTAAGACAAAATTCTACTATATAAAGACTCCATTAGAACTTGTCAACGATTTACTTATCACGAATTAAAATTGCGATCTATTCGAATTAATTCCAAAGCACGCTGAAGCTAATTAAAAATCCATCAATCCGATTGAGAAAATCAAACAAGTTTCTAAGTTTTTTGGATCTTATCTCAAAATCATCGTGCTTTTATTGATCGCATTATCATGGACGGAGACGATTACGAATGACTTATCTTCTATCGACTTGTGCTCTAAATCGTCACGCAACAACGGAACAGCAGCAGCAGGCAGCAGCACGTGCGAATTCCGGCTGCCGACCGTCGTTCCGCGGAAGTGTCTAGTCATGGTGGATAATTAAACGTACTTGCAGAGCATATGTAGTTGCGGTTCCCGGAAGAGATTGTAGCAGTCTTCGCAGATGCGATCGAGACGGGCGAAGATGCTCTTGTCGTACACGCCCTTGCACTGGATGTCGAAGAATGACCTTTTGCCCAGGGGATGGCCGCTGAGGGTGGCGGCGTCCGCACCCAAGCCGATGCAGGACGAGATCAGCATGACCGTTAAGGACCACGTAAGGACGGACACCAGGAACGGGCAAGACGATCCCGTGGACGACGACCTCGACGACGACGACGACGATGACGTCGATGTCGACGAAAGTAGCGTCGAACACGAAGAATGGTACGCGGCCGATGGATACATCGCGAACTCGTCGTTGGATGAAGACGATTGGGCGCTCTGCTGTCGATGCATCATCTAAAAAAAGAGAAAGAAAAGAATTTTTAGAATGTACAGTTTCTCTTCTTCTCCTAATTGCGAATAGAAGTGAGAAAGGGTTGACACACTCGTAGAATTTCTTATTCTAAACTTTGTAGTAAATAGACTTTTCGAAACGGAAACGTGTTTGTCCGAAATTAGAATTTTAATGACATGACTGCAAAAAATCGAGAAAATTCTACCTTGAATGATTAAATTTGTTTTACACTTTTTATGTGTACAAATTTTGCACTACTAGAAGATACAGAAAAAATATAGCAGAGAAAGATTCTCACGCCAATTACAAATTATTACTGATGCCTGCTGGCAATTCAACTCCAAGTATTTATAGAGATCGCACTATTTGTTCGTCTACACTTGTATCCAGATTATCTGAATGATTAATAGGTAACGATAAATATGTGTATTTTGTCTGCTTATTCCATATACGGCTTTATTTATTTTGCATAACACAGTATTATTATAAGAAATAAGCATTGTCTTAAAGGCTCAGATGCGAGGCAAATATTTTCTAAAATATTAAAATAAAATTGTAAAAGAGACACAGTGGAGACATTTAGTAATCATAACTTTTCATACATTATTCTCAGAATTGGTAGAATCGTTATCAACTTCATTATAACGTGATTAATTGAATGTCAATAAAACTGACTTTCTTTTCTTAATGAACAAACGAGGCTTAATGAAAGATGTGATAATCGATAAAATTAAATTAATACGATGATGACATTGTAGTGAAAATACGAGAAATATTCGAATGCCATTTCGAATGTGTCCTAAATACTTTTTGCGCGCAGCTGGAGAGTTATTTACTCTCTACGGTTTCGGCATATCGGGAATGCATATTCACTCCCGTTGCGATGTGCAAGAGCCGCTTTCCTTTTTTGGGATGACAAACGTGTCCGCATCAAAAATATTTTACTTGAATAAAACCAGTGCCACGCCTTCTCTCTGGGATTCCATAATAAAAAACAATAATAAATAACAAATCGCGGCTTTAGCATCAATGTGACAGGGTGCGAGGGTTATTTTTTCTAAATCTTGTAGAGTATTGTTAAAATTGTTTTCTCTAGAATTTCCCTTTTTCATTGTATTTTTCAATCTTATTTTCCGGCCCATACATAATGCGCGGTATACCTAGTCGAAACAGCACGAGACTTCTTTACAAATGCTTGGGAAACAGGAGGAATATGTGATTGTCGGCACGACCATTCGTGCGAGACCGCTTGTTCTATACGTAACGATCGACATACGTTCCGGTATATCAATATACCCCACGCTTTCTTTCTATCTCCTTCTCTTCTCTTCCTCCTCCGCCTGCTCCCCGATCGGCCGGCTCGATCTGTGCGTTGCTCACACGGATCGAGATGTAAAGCAACTCTTAACCAGTCCTGCAGCGGAGTCGCTGTGAATGGACCACACGCAATAGGCCCCACCTGTAAACGTCCTCAACCGACAACTTCATTAACCGAGGGCCCCAGCGCACGATCCACCGCGAGGGGGCCTTCCTTTCTCGCTCTCTTTCTTCTCGCCCCTTCCCACTATAGTCCCCTCCGCCCCGTCCCGCTCGTTCTCTCTCTTTTACTCTCTTCGTCAGTATTATCATCCCATCCGCGCTCATCCAGCCTCTTTTCCACATCCCACCGCCACCTGCACACACGAGAGGAGAGCCAAGCGTTTCGCCCGGTTCTTCTTTTTTCGGAACATAATCACCGCTCCCGGGTGGGATCTTATTTTTAGCCGGCAGGACGATTCTCGGAACTCGCCGGCAACCGCTCTCCTCTATATATCGGCGCCTCCACCTGGTAATTGGCCGCAGGCCGATAATTTGCCCCCAAAGTCGCTCGGATCTCGAGATCGTTAAGACTCCTCTCCTCCCTCCTTCTCTCTCTCCCTCTCTCTCTCCGTGCAAGGATTCCCAAAGGCGAGTGCCTGCTTGCGGGAGAGAATGGACACGTTCCGAGATCTGTCTCGTTTCTCTTCGAGAATCGACTTTCTCGGAACGGACGTGTTCGGTGTGAACCGTGATTGGCGCGACGTTATCTCAAAGAGAGCTGTCTCTGTCTCTTTCTCTCTCTAAATCCTCTTTGTTGTGACTTAATTGATTTCGTTGGACTCGAATCCATTTATTACCGCAGCTATCGCATAATAGTAATATTTTGCTTAGGACTGCTAAGTGTTTTGGATAAAGCAAAGATAAATATCAGAGATAAGCGAATTGTAGAATCTTACAATTAGTATCTATTTAACCGTTTGATTGCATTTTAGGACATAATTGTAGCTGCTTATCTTAAAGTATCAATAATACGATATCGAATTTCTTAATGAAGTGAATTTATATATTTAATTAAATTTTTATAATGCATAACAGAAATTATAGCGGAATTTTATAACTCACAATCAAACGTTATCAATTGAAAAAGACTGGTAAAAATTAGACAATTTAATATCTAACAACAAACAATTCGTCTGGTTAAAATATTTAACCTAGGTTTTTAATTTAAACATACTTTTTCAAAATAATTATGATTTCTTTTTCGTACATAAATTCAATGAGAATGAAGCTGCCACGTTTGTAAATCCCCCTTCGCTTATCTTTACTGCGATCTCCTACTTCGTCTTTGCTGGAAAACCGACCGATATTACGCGTGTGAGAAAATCTGGGGAACCGACGCACACACAGAGTGCGTGAAGATGTCATAAATTGAACCCAGTTGCATACCGGTACATTTTAAAGTACGAGAACTTAACTCTCCGCTTGGCCCCGATTCGGTAATGACGGCTACACTGCTGCGCAGGGATTTAAGGCCCCGTGGGGTCTTATCTTAAATTTCGCGATGCATTGACAACCGGACCACACAGAGGCATAAAGTGCACCGATATATGCGCCGCGGACTGTCTCGCTCTCGCCTCTGAAACGATCGCGGGCCGGTAATTGAGCCGGCTTATGTAAAAAACGGTACTGCGTATACAGGGGTCCGTCGGTCGGGGCCCCCCGATCTCACGCGAGGCGAAACATTCGACTTACTTACAGGCAGATTACATTATATTTTGCACCGACAGCGGACAGCGCAGGGGAACTGGCCGTTCCGTAAGGGTCCGCGCGTCCCGACGTGTAAGTAATGGCGCTTTTTAACCGGCCGATGTAGCGCGTACGCGGCTTATGAGAGCATCGCCGTCGCGATAACACGCTGCAACGATTCCGCCGTATTCACCGTAATTTACAGGGTGGAGTTGGCCGGTGACTAATAAAATAAGACAGTCTCTTAACGAACGTGTTCGAAATGAGGACGTTCTTTATGAAAATGTTTCGGTGAAATTTTCGTGAAATTCTTCGCTTCCGTGAAAACTAAATTTCACGTCAGAATTGAATTTATAATTATGTATGTTTTATCGTGACTTCAGTTATTTAATCAGTTTAACATTCTCATAGTTTCTATCAATAAACTTCAATTACGTCGTCGAATTGATTAATATCATTAGCGAGAAATAAAGTGTATGATTTATGAAGTGCATTATTTTCAATTTTTTTGAAAAATCGGGAAGATTATCGCGGTAAATTGTGACAGCATAAAACGTAGAATTACGCCTTGCAAAAGACTCACTAATTGTCGTTGTGTAGAAATGACAGCCGCTCGATTCTCAATTGCGTTTCGCGCGAAAAATCGTTGCTATATTTAGATCTAACGGTTTGTGGGCGTAATCCAGATCAGGTCAGTGCGAGTCATACATATTTTGCTCGCGTAGAGATAAGCGTATAGTTAAGCAAGAATTAATAGCCGTTTTAATATTGCGCAGCAATGCAAAGCAAAATCTCGAATACCATGCATCTTTCCCTTTTCTTTGTAATTAAATATAACAAAGAAATCCAGTTTTATTAATTTTACAAATTTTATTTAATAAGATATTATAAATATTTTTTTAAAACTATTTGATTTGGATAGTTGAACGAATTTATGGTAATCATTATAAAATGACAATTACTTGACAATTAGTTGTTTAGTATATTCATTGATATTTAAAATAGAATTCGAAAGCATCGTAGACAGCGTATTATATGTATAAAAAATCGTGACTTTTAAGTAGTTTAAAAAATAATCCAATTAAGATCCAAAACAAGATTGAGTCTTCACAATTGCGTCACTGACAAATTGTGTTCTAGACAAATTCGTACAATCCTTTTTACAAATGCAATTTCAGACACGTAACTTATATACCAAACACATATGTTGCATATAAAAGAAGATAGAATACGCGGAGGGTGGCACGGCGAGGCAGGCAAGCGCACAGAGAGAAAAGAAAGAAAGAGTTAGAATACGAAAGTGTGCCGAGACGTGCAGGGGGGGAGTACAAGGAAAAAAAGTCAATGGAGACCAGTTGCGCGATAGGTGAAGTTTTTTCGCGACTCGACCACGCACAGGTGTGCAATCTTTGGCAAAAAGCCACACGCTCGCTTCGGCACTGTGCCCCGCAGCAGCTCGTTCGCGCACGGCATATAAGGCATCTCGCAGAGATTGCGCTATTTTCGAAACGTAGCATGGGAATTTTAGCTTAAAACTGGACGCAGTAAAAAGAAGAAAACTGTTACCAGCAAAAACTTCCCTCTCTCGAATATATTAAAATTTTGCTAACTCAGAGAACACAATCGAGAACACAACCCTCAAAAATCTATAAAATAACATTAAACTTGTTATCGCATTTTTTAATTTGTAATTTTATTTAGCAAAGTTCTATCAATATTTTCGTATTTTAAATTTCTTCATGATCAGTTTTTAAGATTTTTGCCAAAATTTATATTTTCGAGACAATATGATGCGTTTAAAATCTTATGCGCAATTACGCTAAGAATATGTACACGCACATCTGTTTAACAAGTTGTAAGCGTGCCGAGTATTTCATTATTAATAGAAGCAGGATAAACAATAAATTTTCTAGCAGCATTTCTATTACTGATATAAAAACTATTAATAATTTAACTA